TTTGAGCCGATTAGGGCTTTCGTGCATGCACACGGAGTGTATGGCACCTGCACAATGCTCCGCCAAGCAGCTGGAGCATTGTGGGCGGTAAGTACACACGTGGTGGACGTTGGGCCCCGTTGCAGCGTACCGGTTGCAACAGGATCCGGAACCCATCACTGGCACAAGGATGCCTACTGTCTGCCTTTCTATGTGAATGACTTAATGTGTGGGTTGATTGACATGCTTCTATGAATCTATCTTGTGATTCCTGGCTTTACCCTTTAAACCTTGGGGGAGGCAGACTTTAAACAATTTAATACCTTGTCCGGACAGGTTTGCTGCTGCTGCTATCAAAATGAGAAGCAAAATCCTCAGATTTCACATCTAAAAATGGAAGAGCATGGAAATTAAAACATTAGCATAAATAAGTCAATAACATAACTTCTTTAATGAGCCATGAGTACTACCATTTTAAGTACATTATTTAAAAATATATTATTTATTATTTTTAAAAATGTTTAAAAATATTATCATTATTAAGTATTATTATTAAAATGTTAAACGATTACACTAAAAAAATGAACTCTACAAATAAGAAGAGAAAGATGATGAAATATAGAGATGAGTTCTACTTTAATTATGTGCATAAACTTAGGAAAGACCAAATTTTCTCTAAAAAAAAACAGATTCCATCATTACAACTAACCCAGAGGTGATATTCAGCAGGTTCTGACCGGTTCTGGAGAACCAGTAGCAGAAATTTTGAAAGTTCACAGAAATGGTAAATACCACCTCTGACTGGCCCCGCCCCCATCTATTCTCTGCCTCCCGAGTCCCAGCTGATCCAGAGGGAATGGGGATTTTGCAATAACCTTCCCCTGCCACGCCCACCAAGCCACACCATGCCCACCAAGCCATGCCCACAAAACTGGTAGTAAATTTTTTTTTGTATCCCATCACTGAACTAACCATAAAAATAGCATCCAAGAATCCAAGGTGTGATCCAAGATAGGTCAAGCATTCTACAATGGAACATGAACAAATAACTTAAGCATTCCAATCATTTATTTCAGTGGGAAAAATGTCTTGGAATTGTGAAAATATTCAACAACTCTACGTGTTAGGACTCTGTACAGCTTCTCTACTACCTCAGCTGAAGAACTGTCTAGACAGATGTTTTCCTGTGAAATTATAGGAAATTATTTGAAGCTCTGGACTGCATAAATTTAAAGCCATGTTATTCAAAGATAACAGTTTTCTATATCCTGTACCAGCATGTTCTTCCTGGCAAAGGGTTTTAATATAGCAGCTGCATCAATTTATCACTCAAAACCAATAAACCATCTACTGTAGGTACTAAGCCAATCCCTTGACATTCAAGTTGCTGTTCAGGATCTAGCAGACTCAAGGCATAAATCAGAGTCCAGTCAATATCTGCAAAAGAAAACTTTCTCTCAAAGTGGAGGGACACCTAGCCAGCTATTTTTTTAAATTGATTATAGGTTTATCATTTCACCAATGGATATGCTGATAAGGAATATGATGTATAGGCAAAGTCTGGAAGACACAGTTAACCCAATTATAAAGATTCTCCTAATTAACTATAACAGTTTGCTATTCAAAAGTACAATTGTATGCATTTATATCTCATATTTCTCCTCAAAATAGAAATTGGCATTGATGCTTCGGGTCAAATTTATCCCCACAATAGTCTCTTGATGTAGGCTATGATGAAAAGCAGAATTGGCTCAAAGACAACAAATAAGCCTTAAGATTATATAGACCTTTCAGCATGGATCTCCCTAGTCCTAATCTAATAGTTACTCTGACACTTATTTCAGTTAATAAAATGAAAAGAAATAATTGAAAGCTATACGACTATCAAAATTCCAAAATAATGAAAAGTCTCCTAATTTTAAGGTAGTTCATTCGTAAGTAAATATATATGGAATAACTGTCTTGGTTCTCAAAAAAAAAAAATCTACTGAGGCTAGGAGACAAATTTTTGGGGAAAAGCACCCCCAAGACCAAAGCATCATTTTTAGACATGATAGTTTCAAAACTGATTCTAAGCACATTTTAAACATTCCTGTTTATAAGAATGGGAAAAAGCGGCTGGAATTTTTTAAAAAATCCTGTTATTTTTGCAATAAATATTCACAGCCAAGTTCTTTTGTTCAGGATGTTTGTTCTTGCAAAGCCTAGCAGAAATAGATCTGTTACAATAATATTTTTCATATGCTTCCCCACAGCCCAGTTCTTATATTGTTAATATTATACCTGAGGCTTTGCAATTTCTTCCTCAGAGACCAATACCTAGAACCCAAATTTAGTAGGCTATCAACAATTTCCCAGAAATATTGATAGGGACTGAGAACAATAGAAACTGAAAGAACAGACAGGCTTGAGACACTACAAGCAGTCTGGTTCATTACTCAAACAAGGTAGGAATGAAAAGCATCTCCAGCCTTCCTAAGCAGGGTTTTCTATGGTATATCATTAAAACCCTCTGCTAATATTAATGGCTGTACAGAATCCAGGCAATGTTCTCCCAAATCTGCACAACTGTAGTTCTTTCTATTAGCAGGAGTTCTTTCTATTATCACTGTAGCATGAAAATAATGATCCCTATTAGCATTTTCTATTAAATATCTTGTCACGGCACCATTTTTTAACTCGTTCATGGTTTTATCATGTACCAAATCCAATGGAGGCACAGAGCAAGAACTCCTATTACAGTAATATTTGGTTTGCGAGGCTCGATCAAACCCCCCTTTTTTTTATTTAGTTAGGTAGTAAGTTTAAGTCATGTAGTGTATTCCAATTGCTTTTAGTGGTAGGAGATTGCAACTTCATGACTGTAGCTCACAAACAGGGCAGGTCCAGCCTCTAAGCCAGTGTTTCTCAACCTTGGAGACATTACGTCCTGTGGACTTCAACTTCCAGAATTCTAGGGGATTTTGGGAGTTGAAGTCCACAGGACTTAAAGTCGCCGAGGTTGAGAAACACTGCTCTA